TTTGGGTGACGCAAAACTCTTGCAGGGGAAACCATCGAAGGCAAAAAAAATGCCGGCTGCACACGGTGCGCAGAAAACTGCGATCCTCCAGACGAAGCCAGCTGCAAAGGTGACACATTCCAAAAAATATCTGGAATCAATCTGCTTGGGCAAACCGATACCATCCTTTTTCCGTGGACAAAAACATCTACATTTGCCACCAGTGGTATGGCAAATGGGCGCACATGTTCTCTGTCCACGACAGGAACACACACAAGAGGGTTTTCAACAGGGCCGAATTTTTGAGCAAATTTTGGCCAAGACAGTTTGTGGCCTCCGTTTGTCTTCATAAGCACCAAAAGTAAAAGGTACCTTCGTTTTCATGGTCAAGGCATTCAACTCATCGCTCAGTTGCTGTTGCCCTGACTCCTGGCACAGGCTGATGTTGCAACTTCTGCAAACACGGTTTCGCGAAAAAAAATCCAGACACCAGTTGATATGTGGGACCCAAAACACTCAGAACCCATATGTATCACATATATATATATATATTTGTTTTTTCTTGTTCATGTTTTGATAAATATGAGTGTCTCCTTCTGTGTCCCGGAGGTGGTCTTCGAGAGAGTGCTAGGTTCACTCCCTTGGATTTTCTGCGGCCGGCCGCACGGTCCGACACGCTCACACCCATAACTCCAGGAGGACGTTGCTGAGGTCATGGCCTTCGTTAAACCCGAGCAACACAGCTTCAGAATGCTCCAGAAAACCTCCCAAGTGCTCCGCTTCTGCGCAGGTTCTGCAATTCCCGTCCGCGACGCGACACTGAATGCAGCAGACTCCTGCACTTGGATCATGAAGTTTTTGTCTGCGGTTGCGCGACAGAGTCTCCCCGGACAGAACCTCCCTCCGCCCGCAACGAGGAAAAGAAGGTCCGACATGTGCTCTCTCAGTTGACGACTTTTCTGTGAATTGTTCAACGCAGTTAACTAATAAAATTTTCTTAAAAACAGGTTGCTAACACCCTTATCGTTCCTCGCACGTTTATTTGAAAATCTCCTGGCGCTTCCTATTCCCTGTACTGGTGCTTTACCTCCACAGACTCCTCCCTCTATTTCCTTCTCGCCTCAAGTACCCGAAGCCTGCAACGAGCAATTGATGGCGACCTATGACTGATACCGCGCAACATTCTTGCTATGCTTGGAAAAGAATTGGTTGGCAACTGGTGGCTGGTAGCGGCCACGCAAGTTGATAGGAATTGAAATGTTGTTCCACTGTGTACAAAGGCATCTGAATGTTACATGATGTACATTGGTGTTTTCAGGAGGGCCGCGCTGTGTGGAACGCAAAACCTAATTTGCAAGTTTTCTGGCAAACCGCCCTTTTGGGCGCTGTGTTGAGACCTGTGCAAAACGTTGGAAACTGGCACGGCTTCATCTGAGGAAAGTAAAGCCCAACAGATTTCATGCAGATGCAAGCGGGGGCTTGCGTCGCGGAGCCGCTGACGGTAGCCGCGCGAAGCCAGGGAGGCATGGCATGCGCTGCGGGAGGTGTAGATGCGGGTAGTGTCGCGGAGCCGCGGACACATGGATTCTAGTGGCTGTCTTATAGCATTGTTCTTTCCCGTGGTAACAGTTGCAAGTCGAGAGTGGGGTGACAGCCTCGAAATGCATCAATGTGCAGGTTCAGTGGAGTCTTCGCGCGGTCTCTGCCGATCATGGGATCGGTACCATCGATGGAAACGTGCCTGCGAATTTCGCAGGGCAAAAGACTCTCTTTCGATGGTTTGCATGGTGGCAGGGAACGCTACGTCTTGTAGTGCCCAGCAGGGTTGGAAAGCAGTCGAGCAGATCTTTGCAGCCTTCGCCGACAAAGCAAAGCACTGCAGTTGCAGCCGACAAATAGCAAAGCGCATTTGAGGAAAGTACCCGGTTCGATGGTAACAATTTTTGGCGTCACTGAGATTGACCCATGCGAGTTGAGGGCAACGTGCGAACGCATAAGACCGCATTGCGCGCACCAGTGGGGGTCAAGTGAGTCTGATCAAGCCTGAGCCTTGGAAACATGATTGCGGAATGATAACGTGATGTAGTCGGAAAAAAAATGCAGCGGGCGAAACCGTCAGTTTCGGAGGCAAACTATTTTGAGTATCCGTTGTTTTGGAGGCTTCTGCAAGACAACTGAGTTCGAAGACCACTGCAACTGCAAGATCTAGTGGAGCCCCCGCAGCAGCTGGTCGCTTACCGAACATGCGCAGACATGGTGCTGGTTTGCTCGCCTGCACAGCTCTGTGTGCTTCGGCTAAAGTCCGTGGATCCACCGGAGCATTCCATCGAAGCATATCGACGCTGCGCGTGGATCCGCGCTGGACATTGAAGCTGTCCGCGGCTCCACGAAAGCAGTTGCATCTGCCACAGGCGGAACCGTGGAACTCGACGGTGGCACAGTGTGGGCGACACTTGGCTCCTTCAAATACCTGATCAGCATGCCACGCAAGTCGGCCTGCAACTCCGCGTGCGGTCGCTGTCGCCGTTGGTGCCGGACGCCTACCTTCCACGCAGGGCAGGCGCTTCTGAATGTGTCCTTGTATGTCCTTGTCATTTTGCGACACAGGTCCCAGACACTTCAAAAACTCCACCACACGACGTCCTATGCAGCTACCAAGGCTTCACAGTAGTCAGCAAAGTCGGTGCAAACCCTGTCGGTTGCGCGCCAAGAGAGGATAAGGCCACGGATCTCATCTCGCGTCGCTTCCGCCGACAGCTCTTGTCCATCCTGTTTCTGCAGAATACCCCACTCCTTGCATGCGATCCGGAGTTTGGCCCAATCACCTGTCAAATTTCCCAACAAACTGTGCACTGAAGAGGCCACATCCGCTGGCAAAATCAAGTTGGACCGTTCGCTGTCCGCGTCCGGATGTCCAAGTAGTAAATTTCCAATCGTAACGACGGCCATGGGCACTCAGTTTCGAAAACCGAAATTAAAAGGTCGGATAACACTATGACTATTGATATGTGTGCAACAAGACATGTCCAAAAATGTTACTTGTTGCTGCTCTGTCATGCAATGTTGTTTGCTGTTCCGTGTCACACAAGTTCAAAGTCATAAACAAGAAAGATGCAGCAATTGCAAAACAAAAAAATTGAAACAACAAACATAATCCCATCCACCTATTAAGAAACATGAGGGCCCCCCTATTAAGAAATCCTCGGGTGATCTTTTTTAAAATAGGGGGTCCCTGAAACCAGGGTTGTCCAAAATAGGACAACTTGAGAAAAGTTTCAAAGCCAAAAAGTAAAAGCGCCATATCGAATCATTTTTTTAAGACTCGTATCAAAAACTCAAAAAACTTACAGATTGAAGGGTCTTCCTTTTCCCTTACAAAGTTCTTTATTGGAATAGTGATTCTTCAACATTAGACTAACAACTAAAGTTTTCGAAAGGTGATGTCGCCGTGCCATGCGGTTTTGCGTGACCTCGGTGGCGGGTGCGTTTGCGTGAGCCCGTGAAATTGGGGGAAGGAAAAACTGCTGGTGTAAACGCGGCGTGTCATGGCGGATAGACAGGGTGGACAGAGGTGGGTTGTTGCGTTTTTTTTAGAACCTATTCTTTAAAAAACTACACCAAATGGCGGTAACTCAAGAACACAAATATAAACCATTTTTAGACATTGGTGTCCGTTTTTTAGTAGGTACTCGGCACTATGCAATTACAGATTGCGATAAAAGGGTCCTGGATGTAACCATGCCAGAACTAACAGACAAAGAATTAGTTGGGCTTAACCACGCCAGTTCAGCCTAGAAGCAGGGGTCTGAAGAACACAGAACTCTAGAGGTCAGGAAAGTGATCGAAGTTAGTCTTAGCTACAGAGAGTGAGTTGTAGAAGTCGGTTTTTCAATCTAAAGGTTGCAAGATAAAGTGGTTGGGTGCAACCACGCCAGGTCCAACGGATGAAACAAATGGCTGGGTGTAACCACGCCAGGTCATCCTAGAAACAGGAGCCTGAAGAACACAGAGGTCTAGAGGTCGGGAAAGCGGTTTAGAGGGAGGCCTACAGAGGTCTATAGACCTATAGAGCACACATCTGAGAGCACAGTCATCGGAGCCCACAAAGTACTGCGCATGCCACAAAATCTGCGTTTCGAGGCCACAAAATTTACACGTCCAAATGCACGAAGTGCTGTGCCCGCCACGAAATCTGCACATCGAGGCTCACAGCCACGAAATCTGCACCTCAAGGTTCACACAGTGCTGCGCGCAATTTCTGAAAACGACCCACATGTCCAAAAAGCACAATTCATTGCACCCGTCACAAGTACAGCGAACCGAAGATCACCACCATGTCCAAAGTGCTGCACCTGCCACGAAATCTGCACTTCGAAGTCAAGCCGCTTTGATCCCTTTCACCTGTCACGAAAAGCCGGCTTTCAACCACAAGCACCCGCCGCGCCCACACAGATTTTGGACGCATTGTAAATGTAAGTAGTAACAAGAAAGCTACTAGTAACAAGTGCCACGCTACTAGTAACAAGTGCCTTACTAGTAGTAACGAATTCGCCAAACGCCCCGGTGGAACACCTCGACTAAACACCTTAGGTACCGGAAGAACCCCTAGTGTGACACTGTTTGGGGAATCAGAGAATTGCCGGCCAAAGGTGGCAAACGCAACCCGAAGTTGCCTTTAAAAGAAACTAATGTCCACACATCCATCTACACCCGCACCTTCAAGTCAATCTTTTGGAAGGGCTGCGCCATTCCGCTGGCATACGCTTGCCGTATGCAAGGAGCAGTGGACACCAGTGGGACGCGTTGTCAAGCGCAACCCGCGTACTTGGGCACGTCATTTTTCAAGGCCCCCATGAGCTTGCATGAAGTTGTCAGCCCCACGCGGACCAAACAAAAGCAATGAAGACCGTCGCAAGTGACATGGCCGTTTGGGATTGTTTGGGCCTGTTTCTTTGTAGAAAGTGATTGGTGAGGAAGGTTTGGTTTCATCGCAACCTGTGATGACTTAGACGAGTGCCTGCAGATGTTTTTGGCCCAAGATGGAGGATCCAAAATATGGATCGAAGGACACGGCTGAACTTGCACATGAAGAAGCGGAGCGGCAAGATTTGGCACAAATTGCTCCAGCCAAGTCATGGTTTAGTGCAGCGAACTCAGTTTTAGATTTGATGTAGCTGTCGGGTTCAACATATTGACATATTGTGACCTTTGTGAAATTGAGTTTGCGCTGTGTTGGTGCAAGCAACTTCATGCTGCACTGAGTCTTTGAAGGGCGCAGTGCAAGGAGACAGGGACCCTACTGATGCACTGGTCGCCAAGTACAATCAGGCCGAATGGGACACCCTTTTGCTGAAGATGCTACACAATATGTGTTACCGAAGAGTGTGTTACTTTGCACTTTGCATTTCCCTGGTGTCCTAGGGTCAAGACTCCGATGAAGAAGAGAACGATGACTACGGAGTTGAAGTTCGTCCTCCCAAGCCCTTCGTCGACACCCCACTGTTTAATATGTGTGCAGCTCTCAGAGACGGACAAAATGACAGCATACTCTGTGAGATTACTACTAGCGATGCACCTGTTCCTAGTAGCTTCTTGTTACTACTAGTAAGGCACCTGTTACTACTAGCG